ATAGTGGGATTGACTGTCACATTATAATGCCCCCACGGCTGAAAGGGCGAGCATGTTTGGTGTGATGGGTATTCGAACCTTCAACCCTCAGATTGCGAGTCAACTGCCCTAACCACCTGGCCATGCCGGGCCCAATGAAAAAGAGAAAATTCTTACCATCCCCATTCAGGATAACATGAGTTTAAAGATTAAAGAGTAAGGTCACAATATAACAATTGTAAGAGTATACTAGAAAAATAATTTAGAGTAGCGAACATGCTGACAAAGTCTGGATAAACTATATAAAAGCAGTAAGTAATTATTAAATACACAAGATGTTATTGGTTTGGATTACAATTGTTCAATCGCAGCTGATGATTTTTTATAACAAATTCAAACTGTTTGAAGAAGACTTTGGAATTACTGTGCGACATATGGTAAAAACTCACTTTAAAGGTTGAAGTAAAACACTTCAAAAAGTGATACAAAGTTACATCTTAAAATTTTGAGGAAGGTAACAGCAAGATATTAAAGCATGATTGGTTAAGAATCGTTTATTACATTAAATCATTAATTCTAGAATTATTGATAACATCTATAGCAGTTTTTCTAAACTATTCATGAACCAAATTGTTTATGGGTCTGTGACTTTGTTGGTTACAGGGTCTCTATTGAAATGTGAGTCACACAAAAAAATGTAAACAAAAATACCATACCTATTGCAGTTATTCTTACCAATTACTTCTAGGGTACACCAATGCATTTTACATAGAAAATGAGTGATTTAATCCACTTTTTGGTTGGTCCTTTAAACTGAATGTTATAATAGGCAAAAACATAAAATTACTCAATATGATGAAATATATGGGACCCACTTGTAATAAATGGCATAACAATAAGTCTGTAATTTGAGGGTTAACTTACTTTCTTTTTTGTTCCACTGAGGTATTCCTTGTACATCTCAGATCTTAGATATCTTTGATAGCTATCATTCTTCATGAGGTGATAGAGATGTGACTACACCAAGTAAAATGAAAAAAATAAAGATTGTATAGAAGAAATAAAGGAAGTGATATACAGTCTAAAAGTCTAACAAACAAATGGTCCAGAGTGGCTAACTTTCTCACATAAGCAAGAGGCAATGCAATATTCCTCATGACTTAATATAATTTTTCTGTTAAATATTCACTGAATTTAATCTAAATCATTACAATCAAAGTTAATAGATCTTGATTATCTGACTTACAGCAGCTTCATCAAATGTCCACCTGCCTGGTTTTTCAATATTCTTTTTAGTAAGTTCATAGCTTTTGGAATCAATGTTAATTGGTGAGTTAGCATCAGGGCCCAGATATTCACTAATGAATGAAGAAAACATTTCATATATCATATTGAAGCTCATTCTCTTATGAATTTTGAGCTTAAATAAGACAATATCACTTGATGAAAAACCTAATGTCCTTATCATTCTCATACCTATCTTACTTAAATCAATTATCCCACAACATGCATTAATACCTAATCTTTATGTAGTAAAACCTGATTATATCCAAAAGTGTATATCGTAAACATGCCTTCTGATACACTGTATTGGAATTTCATGTCACCCAAAAAGTTTTTATTTAATTGTAAGCTATGTTTTTAATATTTTAATTTAGACATTTGTGTTGTTCATTAGATGAAGTTTTGATGTATTATGATATCTAGAAATTTCTTAAGAATATGAGAAATTGCTTGAACTGTATAAAAATGGTAGCTAGATTAGAGTAATATATAGTGTTAAGTTGTTGGCTGATTATTGAGTCTGAGTTGGTTAGTTCAGTGCCTTAAGTTTTGATCAGCATTATATATTTATGAAATTAGGCTTATCACTTTGTTATCATTAGTTATATTAAAGAAGAAAGCTGTAGAATTTTCTATCGAAAAAATCAACTTTTTTTTATTAAGTGGAGTAAATAATTAAAAAAAGAACTCCTCTAATGATAGAAGCTGTTATAATAATAATATTATTACGTTTGTTTGTTGTTAAGCACAAAGCTACAGAAAGTGCCAAACACAAGTACCAAAACCCAGTTTTTACCATTGTAAGCCTTCAGACTACCAGATTATTATGAAGCTCTTTATTTCATTTTGACTATAATCAAACAAAATATTCCAGAATGCAATTCATATAAAAAGTACATAAAATAAAGTATTATCTTTTTAAAGCCAATAGAGGAAATCCTAAATACTACCATATTTCCACAATTTTCCAAATAAAATCTATTGAAGTGCATAATTATATTGTTAATCTAAATGATTAAACCAGTCAGTGTGATATTCATTTATAATAATTATAAAAACTGAACTTTTGAAATAATTTTTTTTTATGAGGTGAAAGTTAGTCTATAATTTCAATGATAAAACCCAATAAT